CGCTATCACATAATTTTGGCACGTCAGAGTAAGTATTTGTTAGACTGATAGAAACAATTTTTTTGATATATATATATAAAATATTTCCATTGCATCATTATTCAGTTATTAAAGAATTTCACCTGCTTTTCCATATAGAAATTGACGCAATACAATCTTCTTACCTCTATTTGCTATTTTTTGTCTTTTATCCTTATTGTTAGTGAATATTATGAAACTGAAAGAGGTCGCTGTCTTTTTTTATATCCGTCATCGATCACTTGGACAAATGTCTCAGTGAAAAAATGATTAACTAAAGAGTAACATTTTTCTTTCTTTTTTTTTTCTCAGGTAACTTCTATTCATGGCTTCAAAAATTGGTGTGTTAGTCATTCTAGATGACTTCATGTGTAGCTTCTATCATCACGAGATAGAAATCAATACGGAATGTCATTTGGTTGTGTGAAACGAAAATGACGGATAATCGCTTCAAAATTTTACACTACTGTCTTCACCTTCAACCAACAAAGACGAGAAGACGAACCTGAAAATATATACACGGTATAATTCCATTTCTTACACTAGGTCAGATATTATGGCGCAATTTAGTGCTTTCATAAATATAACGTAGGTAGCATGGTGGTCATTGGCGCCGACGGTAAGCTAAGGATACCGGTTTCAATTTCCTGTTCGTTACGCTTACTTTCGAACAAAAACCCTTGCCAAAAGGCATGAATCCGTTTCTTCTTTCCCAAGCTAAATATCAAAGCAGGCTAGGCTCTCTAGCCTTTGTTGGTAACTAGTCTAGGAGAAGGATAACTTTGAATTCAAAACTGATCGTAGATGGGACTGGCACCTCTTAAAAATCTCTCACTTGCCACTGTACCATGTGCCCTTGCATATGCCCTTGAGGGCAGATGGCACAGTGGATAAATGCGTTGGTTAGATCCAGTGACAGGACCCAAAGAGTGTTAGTTCAATACCCGGTTAAGGCAGTGGAGAACTTTCAGAGGGGAATTAACAGGAGATAACTGATAACTGACATCCATTAAACATGGCATGTGGAACTAGAACAGTCTACCCCGGTGAGCGAAATAAAGGATTCAGTTCGACATTCCAACCACCTGAAGAAGGCCGGATCGTACAACGGCCGAAAAGTTGTAATAAATATGGCGACAAAGATGAGGACAATATTCCGAATAATGTAAATAGTGTACATAATACCTCATCTCAGAAATGTAGACAGATAATCGGGTGTAATTTTCAGAATATATTAAAATGGTAAATATACCAGGTCAATTTCAGCTTATATTGTATTGTTTTTATATAGTTTTAATTATTTCATCCTAATCAAGGCGATAATGCCACTAAGACGCAAAAAGGTTACTGAGAGACAATAAAAGAACAGGATTCAGAAAGAATTTGTATTAATTTTTATTGATAAGAGATTTAATTAAGTTTTGGAATTTTATTCGCTATTTTCTTTTTTTTTCTTCTCTTCTAATGAGAAAGGATGGGTTTGCCTATCGTCTGATTATGACTTCTCACCAGTTTATTGAATTGGTGTGGAGGTTATCATTTGTTTACTCTTCAGAATTGAGTTTCCGGTTGCTTCAAAAGTCTCTTCAACACTATACTTCTAATGTCTCCGCCTAAACCCTGAAATGTTATTCACTAATTAAATCTTGTCCTCTTCAAGTCTAGGGTTAGCCGTTATCTTCCCTGCCAAGTTCTTCATTTCTTGCCTCTTCTTACACTAATACAACACCACACAGTAACCTTGAGTGGGTCTTTGGCTTTGTATTGGTGAACATTAGCATATATATATATATATATATATATATATATATATATATATATATATATGATTAATGTGAGTAAAAGTCTGTCACTTAGCTGATTGATGTTACCTTCAGCATCCCGACTCCAGATTTTCGTAGAAGGACCTGTCCGTCCACTCTCATGTTTGTGTATGCGCATGCGCGTGTGTGTATGTGAGCGAGAGACAGAGAGAGAGAGAGAGAGAGACAGAGACAGAGACAGACAGACAGACAGACAGACAGATTTCTTTAGGAATTAATGGATTTTAAAAAAATTTTAATCTGATCATTTTATTACTGCAAACATTGTTATAGTGGATACTCGTATTTGAAATGGACGCCTCACTTTTATTTTTACTTTAATCAGGGTGTATTACGCTTATTGGCCTGCTCGTTTGAGAAATCTCAATAAAGAAAATGTGCTCTCCGGCAAGATCGAACATGCATCCCGCTTTCGAGTAGAAACCGGCATTTGATTCGATGTAGTTTACTGCTCGAAGGGCGTCACAGTACAGCAAGGTTCTAAGGGAAAACAGAACCTCGTTGTACCGTGGTTTCTCATCGAAATCAGGGATGCATGTTCGATTCCTTTCGGGTGGTATATCTCCTTTATTGAGTTTTCTGGGGTCCACTGGGCAATATACGTTATACACGAGGCGTCTATTTCATATCCGCTAAAAAATAAGGTTTGAAGTATATATATATATATATATATATATATATATATATATATATATATAATTGTATGTTTGGATAGCAATCCCTATTTTATACAAGTTTTGTTAAAACGACCTATAAGTTACTATGGTTAAGTTTTTATTTAATTTCTCTTGGTGTTCTTATAACTTTTTTTCATTTCTGGACATAAATTATGTAGAAATTGTCTGAATGTTCTGTATGTCCGAGCGCTTTCGGCTATTATCAAGCTAAATGACGGTTCCGTATAGGATACAGGTTCGAATCCTGTCAGAGGACGAATATTTTCTGTGAAAATTTCTCGGACATTCAGGCCGGTAAATGTTGTTTAATACTGTTTATTATAAACAGAGCATTTACTTAAATATTTGTATCTATAAAAAGAATGTATAAACATAAAAATGTCTTAAAATAATTGTCGGATTTTGTCCATTTCATAATGTGTGACGTCATTTGTTTACATTTGATACGCCATGAGCAGATATGAATGTACGTGAAAGATTCATGGAAGATTGAAGTCTAAATACAGTAAATTCGACCTTGCTAACCGAACGCAATGGCCAAATCGGTAAAGGCACGTAAAGCTAAATGACGGTTCCATATAAGATACAGGTTCGAATCCTGTCGGAGGACGAATATTTTCTGTAAAAAATTTCTCGGACATTCAGGCCGGTAAATACGGTTTATTATAAAACAGAGCATTTACTTAAATATTTGTATCTATAAAAAGAATGTATAAACATAAAAATATCATAAAATCATTGTCGAACTTTGTCAATTTCATAATATATATATATATATATATATATATATATATATATAATACTTATTAATTTCAGTGATATCCAAATTGTCATGGGTCGTAAAAAATATAACATTAAAAGAAAAATATGGTTGTAATATTATAAGTGATAGGAGCTATCTCGAAAAATTGGTAATAGTTCAGAGAACAATAAAAAAAAATGATTAAAGTATTGGCAAAGAACAAGAAAAAAAATCAGATTTTATGAATGTCATAAAAAGTTATTTGATAAAAAGAGCAAACAAAAAATAAGAAAGAAAGTGGATTGAATCGTAAGAAAATATTTCAAGAATCCAGTGTCGTGGATGTAAACATTGAGAAAAATGCTGAATATTTAAAACATTGTCTAAAGACATGAAAAAAAAAAACATGAACCCGTTCCTTCTCACCTCACCTATAGGATAAAATGGCTGGGTAGACTGGTCCCTTTTAAAACCCTGGGCTATCTGGCAACCTGTTAAGAGATAGAAAAGTTTTAATTCAAAACTGGAGAAAATAACAGGGAACAACTATCTTTCACAAGAATCCATTTCTATTCACAGATAATAAAGAAAAGGAAAGCTCCACTCATCACCGAATACGCCCTGAATGGAGATGGCGTTAAAAAGAAAATTTAATGATGAACGTCAAACTATATTGGATGAATGTTATGATTGGGATAGGAATCGGGTTCTTCAGGGAAATAGTCCATTAGCAAGCAACAATGTGGAAATAAACTCATGTTTTCGGTTTGTATTCGAAACAATAAAAATTTGATTCAAACTTGATGATCGTTTCAAGACAAACGCAAACAATTAATATAAGCTCTTGGACCAGATGTTCTGCAAAGTGCAATTATAAATAATATCTTCATGCAAGATAAATCTACAATTGTGACTAGTGCCTACTTTAGCAGAAATTTCAAAGACATTCACTGAATGGAATGGCGACAGGCCTGTCTAGATATGAATCCAATAGGAAACTTGCGGTCCATCTTTAAAAGACATGAGACTTGTAAACAATATTCAATATCTGGGAAGCAATAAAAAAAACTGCTTGAAGTAATGTTAAATTTGAAACAGTAAAAAGTTAAAGAATTCAGTAAATGAAAGATTGGTAAATATAAAATTTCAAGGAACTCATATTAACGCTATTTTCCATATACACATTTCCTTTACCATCACGTGATCTATTTATTTCAAATGGGATCGCCTGTGTTTGTTCTCTGGTGATCTGTGTTCAAACCCAAGTGTCGGCAGTGACACTTTATTCCTATATAACAAGTTATAACAAATTGTAAGAGATAAGGAAATTGAATGTAGAATCGGCAGCGCTAGGATTAGTTTCGCACAACACCACGAGTTGCTATAAAACCAAAACGTTAACCTAAAAATTGGAGTCAATTACTTAAATAGCCTCGTCAGATCGAGAATTTAATATGAATATCACGCATTTAGACATATCTAAACTGTCAGCTCGATACAACTGCTTTCTCAATGGCTAAAAATGACTTTGAACAAGTGAAACCTGTGGGTTTTGATGAAGGCCACACTGCTTCCAACCTGGTGGACAAATGTGTAGCGTCACTACAGAATCACACAAGATTGCACCAGATAATAGAAATCGCATCACTTGATGACCTTCAACAGCAGTAACAGCTAAAATGGATAGCATATGTAACTTCAAGAGAAAATAATGGCATAATAAAAATACAAACGTTCCATACTACTTCAAACAAAAGGTTAGGAAGGAAATTCCCATCAGTACTGGACAGAGCGATGACAGCTACTGAATTTGAGAAACCTATTTTCCTGAAAACATTTTTTAAGATAAAAAATTTATAAATTTCAGCCGACAATAGTAATGGCTGCTCGGTCAATGAATGCTAAATGTTTCCTTATGAGGAAACGGCTAATATTGCATATTGAGACATTCATATGGATGTCAAGAAAGCGTCAAACCCGTTCAGAAATATCTAAACTGTCAGCTGTATACAGCTGCTTTCTAAGATCAATGGTGAAAAAATTGAGCGAGTAAAGCCTGGGGATCTTGATAAAGATCATCCTTTGAACATTGTGAACTGGCGCTACAGAACAAAGAACTGTACCAAATAACAGAAACCACATCATTTGAGGACTACCAACAGCAGTAACAACTAAAATGAATACCACATGCAACTCTAAGAGAAAATAATGAGGTAATGAAGATGTTAACATTCCATACTACTTTAAATAAAAGCTTAGGGGGGTATATCCCATCAATACTAGGCATGGACACCTATTTTCCTGAAAAATTGTTTTAAGAGAGATTTTATAAATTTCAACCGACAAAAGTATTGGCTGCTCGGTCAATGAATGCCGAATGTTTCCTTACAAGGAATCGACTAATATCACCATTATCATCCGTATTAAAAGAATATTCTGTCTACAGAGGAACAAATCTTTCAGATGCGTACCATTCGATCTGAATGAGTGAATTATATAATTTTAAAGAAAAGAGCTAACTCCGGTCTGATGTCGGTGACTACATGACTTTCTATGAAACACCGAACGCAGTTTATGTCACTTCCTGTCATGTCTAGAACGCATTGCGCAACGCAGACGAAAGTGAACTGCACGCTCACGTTAATCAAATGAACCAGGAGGCTGGTATTGATCGCATTCTGCTACAACCAATATGGCTGACTAGATGAGGCACCAACAGCAAAGTAATTGCGAAAGCAATCGTACATCAAAAGTGTAACAATGCCGCAAGTGTTGATTGTATCGCTGTAGAGATCGCGGACAAAAGGGAGGTTTTGCTATGCATTTTATGAAGTCCTTGTCTGCTGTTGAGAACAGGGTAAACTACACCATGACTTCAAAGACGCAATCATAACCCTTTATAAAAAAGAAAAAAGAAAAACGAAACATTAAAAAGCAAAGGAGAAAAATCGATCTATGTTAACTGCAAAATAATCATTCTGTTTTCACTTGCAGGAGACAAAAAATTTCTCACGAGTTTTAATATAGAAAAGAGTGTTATCAGCCGTGGTGGCAGATCATTTCCCGAAAAACCAGCCTGATTTTTAAAGTGCACTAATCCAAGACCAGCTGACATGTATTTGTTTTCCCGTGTCTTAATGCAGATTCAGGAAGTTTCGAGGACAAAACAAAGAGCAATATATACACTCGGTGTATTGTCTTCGTCTTTTATCACAACGTTTTAGACGTTGTACCCTCCGGCCTTCATCAGGTGTTTGTCGATATCCAGGTCATATTCAAGGAATTTTGAACTGGATCCTTTATCAAATCTACGGGATAGATAGTTCTCGTTCCGTTAACCATGTCTACATATATCACATTTAGTTCTTGTTTACTACTGCTCAATTTCGCAACAATCTTCTGGTTGATGTGTTTTTATGGCTTATCAACTTTGGCAGATTATTAACGCCACAAAACATTTTTAGATTGTAAGAATTTCGGGGGAGATAATAATATACTATTTACATTATTCTGACTATTATCCTCATCTTTGCCGCCATATTTATTACAACGTTTCGGCCGTTGTACGCTCCGGCCTTCTTCAGGTGGTTGGAATATCGAACTGAACCCTTTATTTCGCTCACTGGTTAGTTATATCCAGTGACAGGACCTAAAGAGTGTGAGTTCAATACCTGGTTAAGGTGGTGGTGAACTTGGAGATGGAATTAAGCAGGCGATAACTGATAACTGACATCCATTAGACATGGCACGTGAAACTAGAACAGTCTACTCCAGTGATCGAAATAAAGGGTTCAGTTCGACATTCCAACCACCTGAAGAAGGCCGGAGCGTACAACGGCTGAAACGTTGTAATAAATATGGCGACAAAGATGAAGACAATAGTCTGAATAATGTAAATAGTGTACATAATACCTCATCTCATAAATATAAACAGATACTGAGATAATAATAATTTACTGATACAAGTCATACTAATTAACCCATAGCTGGGGGAGAAGAGGTGGATTCATACCTTTCCAAAGGGTATTTACGCATAAACGAAATAACGAACCCAACTGGAACTGGAATTTCGACTCTTTGATTTCCAACTCCGAGCTGTTATCAATTACATTATCCGCACAAACAAGCCTACTACACCTGATATTCCTAAGCGGTCACCCATCTAGGTACTGAGTAGGTTCGATGTTGCTTAACTTCGGTAATAGTACGAGAACTTGTGTTTCAATGTGATATGACTGTAAGCCCTTTACACCAAGCGCACATCAAAGTTTATAGCACCTGGTATTTCCAAGTGGCTACCCATTTAGCTACTGACCAGATTCGATGTTGCTTAACTTCGGAAATCGTACGAGAATCGGTGTTCCAACAGACACTTCCTAGATATTTAAATTGTTGTACTTGTTTGATTTTGGTATTTCCAATTTGTAATTTGTTTGGATGGTTGGTCGAAATTAATAGAACACGATTCAAAAAAACAGCCATGCTTTACGGATTACCAAAAGTACATTGACCAGGTATCCCTATGAGACCCATAACATCAAGAGAATAGCTTTTCTCCTCTCTTGTCGATCTTTCTACCGAGAGGCAGAGAGGAACCCAGGCGAGGCTATACCGAAGGGCAGTGTCTCGTCTGGGGAGGTAGACAACTGCCCGCCCCCGTGTATGCACGGTCTACGGGGAAATTTTGCCCGAGCGCATGCGCTCGGTAAACCCCGCGTTAAAAACCTGCTTTGTACCATATCCCACCTTGTGGGGAGGTCTTGGAGGACCAGAACAGCAGGAATACGTAGGACCCCACATAAATTAGCCGGTATATGAGCCAAAATTTTAGCTCCACTACTCGTTACATTTCCTTAGCATTAAAAAAATCAAAAGATCTTATTAACAGATTTTTAAAAAAAAGATATAAAAGTAGGTACTCCCAAAATTCAGTTAAAGAGGGGATACGCGTTGAAAAAATGTCGAAGACTGAATAAAAACAAAATATTATCGTCACAACCTGTGTGCTACTATTAGAAAGGTCAAAGGATATTTCGATGTAAGAATTATTCATTTATTTTACTAATGTTCACCAAATACAAGGCCCAAGAACCACTCAAGGTAGAGTGTTATTGTGTGGAGTTGCATTAACATTTTTATATTATCGTCAGAACCTGTGTGCTATTATTAGAAAGATCAAAGGATATTTCGATGTAAGAATTATTTATTTATTTTACTAATGTTCACCAAATACAAGGCCCAAGAACCACCCAAGGTAGAGTGTTACTGTGTGGAGTTGCATTAACATAAGAAAGGGGGCAAGATAGCAGGAAAGATAGACAGCTAATTCTAGTCTTGAAGAGGTCAAGATTTAATTAGCGGATAAAATTTCAGAGTTCAGGCGGAGACGTTAGAAGCATAGAGTTGAAGGAGACTTTCGAAGGAGCCGGAAACCTCGTCCTAAACAGGAAACAAGGGATAAACCTCTACAAAAAACCGGGGAGGAATGAGTACCGGGCGGTAGGCAAACATATCTACTCCTATTAGGAGAGGAAAAATAATAATTACTGAATAAAATTGAAGGAATTGGAAAACCTCTAATCTTGTTCAAAAAATTGGGGCGGGGTATGAACCAGACGATAGGCGAACCTATCTACTCTTATTAATATGTTTTTCATCCTTTTTAGAAATTTAATGATTTTTTTTTTTTTTGCATCAACACGGGTCCATGAATTTATATAGGAAATTTGAAGATGTTTTCAGTAAAATATTGACTTGGAAATTATCACAAAAATCAGATAATTATCGACTTTTAATGAAACTTTCAGGACTTATTCACAAATTAATTAAATTATTTTTTAAATGTTTCTTTTCTAGAAAGTCTTTGAAATTTTTTTTATATCTGATAGCCACTACAAATTTTATGAAAATTCGAGAAATTCATTTTATTTTTTAATTTATTTTTTATCACTTAATGTTTATATTTCTCGAGGAATTAAATTGCAAACTTTTTTTTAGTAAAACAGGAATCAATTTACAGAAAATTTGTCATGAATAGCAAAAAAAAAATACAATAAAACTAAGACATTATTTAATTAGAAAAGCTTTTAATTACTTTTACGAAAAAATATATTAGTGGCATCATTGTTTTGGGAATTTTTTTTTCGGTGAAAATTTTTTTAAATTCTGTATTACTTTGTAGCAGATATTGTTTGTGAAGTGATATTGTTATTAAATTACAACTGTATTTACCAATCATAAATGGAAAAGCCTACTACAATTGAGCGAACCCCGAATATTTTAAAAAGTATTTTAATTTCTGTTTGTTTGCATATAAATGTATAAACATATCAATTCTCGTAAATGTGAACGTCCATACACGACATTATCAAAAAATAAGGGTGGCAGAAGAATATATATAAGAATATATATAAGAAATATACTGCTAATTTTCCAAGATTTTCTCAACAAGAATATTCATGAGGAGGGTTATAAAGCAAAAATATCTAAAATTCAATATTCGATTGCTTAAAATAATAATAATAATAATAAGAATAAGAAGAAGAAGAAGAAGAAGAAGAAGACGTAAAGCAATGGTATTATAAATATTAGGTTGGTGCAAAAATAATGACGTAATAATGTCGTTTTATGACGTATTTTTTAACGTCAAAAAACGACATTCTTACGTCATTATTTTTGCACCAACCTAATATATAAATTAATGGAAATGTTCAATTATTTTTTATCCAGCTTCATATGTGCTTAAGAGGATTTTTTTAATATGTATGCAAGGACTCAAAACTTCGGATTTTGCTTCCAAAGGTTTTTGGGATCTGGAAATGTCATTATTGTTATAAGGCTTTTGCCTTTTTTTTTAAATTTTCCAGCTTGCAATCGGACCCCTGCGTTTTTTTTTTTAAATCCACATCAAATACATTTCAAAGTACCTTCAGTACATACTATGTACGTTTTATTTTGGCCATTAATATCTGTTACTTATGCTTTATAGATTATTGCTTCGGTATTACAAGCTCCATCTAATGGACATCTATTTTTATTTCTGCAATTGCATAAATTACTCGTGCTATTATTGTTTCTAAATTACTAGTGCTACTGTAGCTTAATTTGACTGTGTTTTTATCGAATATCTTATGTAATTCTGAATTTTTTGGGAAGTGTTTAGCAAGTAACTTGAAAAATAATTTCCCTATTTTACATTTTAAGTTAAAAGTGGGGTTAAACAAAATCATATTTTTCTTTTCCTCAAATTGTTTTTCATATCTTGTTTAATTTGCGGTTTAAATTCTAGTTAAGTTTTGCGACCTTCTACTTTTAAGTTCTTCTCATATTCTTTCTTTTTATCCTCAAAAATTATTTTACTAAAAGGGTTTCTGGATAACCTAGTCTCGATTCCTTTAGGGATGTACTTGATAATGTTCGCAGGGCGGTTCGATCTAATATCCACGTATTTTAATTTTGCGTTGGGTTTCATATATGGGGGAGACACTGCCAGCTTGAAGATTTAATTCTACGTCCATATAGTTGAGAAGTTTTATTCATTTCGACTTCTATTTCAAAGCCGTGGCTTTTGAAAAGCGCTTTTCTTATAGTGTCATTTGGTCTTTTGTTGTCTGGCACTATCATCAGACCATCCTCACTATATAGACCGTGGTCGTTTATATGTACAATTTTCTTAATTTCCTATATGATATGTAGGTCTATTGACTCCAAAATCTCAGTGCCATAAAGACGAACCTTGTGGTACATTGAAGCCGTTTTTTTATTATTATTTCCTAAACCAGGTTACTTCATCCGAAGTCTTGAGTCATTGCATACATATTAAAAACTTCCTCTTCAACTCATATGAGGTTGGATAAATAAAAAGAAAAATATACATTTTAATTACCCCTTCCCGCCACTGATATATTTAAAATAACCTTGCTTTTCTTCTCTTCCCCCTTCTTCTTTTTTCATCCCCTCCTTCCTTCACATTCTTCTCTGCCCTTTTTATCACACACAACGTCTTGCGTTGGTATATTTATTTTGAAAAATAATGTAATGTTCATTAGTTTTTTTTTCTTTCAAATAAATCATTGGGAAGTCAATTGATAAATAATGCCTGAAGATACCGTAAGGTTGAAGCCAATGTAATATATATATATATATATATATATATATATATGTGTGTGTGTGTGTGTGTGTGTGTGTGTGTGTGTGTGTGCGTGTTTGTGTGAATAAAAGATTACTCTTAGCCGATACGTTTCGTCCTCTGATTGACATTATTGAAACAAACTTTATTATTTGCCTTGATAAAGTCCCTCAGAAGACGAAACGCGTCGTCTAAGAATAGTTTTTCCTCTTGTATTTTTATTCATTTTGTTCCTTTACAGATGCGCTCGTTTGAAAACAATATATATATATATATATATATATATATATATATATATATATATATATATATATTAAACCCAAGCAAAGGAATAATACCACTAAGACGGTTCAGTCAGTTATGTGGCATGCGTGATTTATGCGTAGGCGATCATGTATCTTTCGATACATGACTGACGAGGCAGATTTTTTTCCCCGCAGTAGGTTGCCATTTCTTTCTGTGTTAGCCCAGTTGCTATCCAAGGCTATAGAACCCGGTCTGTCCTGCTATTTACCCATAGCTGGGATGGATAGAAGAGGAGTCACACCTTTCGCAAGTGTATTATCACGTGTATTCGACTGGAATTAGAACTCAGCTCTCCGATTCTTTAATCTGAGCCGCTATCCATTACATCTCCATACTGGGAGTAAAAGATAACGAGGAAACATCATAACGAACCGGAAAGTCAATACTAAACTTCCTGTTCAAATGCCTGTGCAGGGGCGCAGGAGTGTGAACCGGACGATAGGCAAACCTATCTACTCCTGTCATTCATATATATATATATATATATATATATATATATATATATATATGAAAGTATAGCCTTAGTCGTAATCCCATTTTGAACATTCGGACGACTTGGGCCTGCAAATTGTCTGAAGATTTCGTGTGCGTGAAACTTGGGTTATGCCCAGAGCCATCCTTTCATAAATTTAACGTTGTCAAGCGTTTTTGCCATGTGTAGGCAGTCTAGGTTTTGAGCACTTTCCTTTATTTTTAGGCCTTTTTTTTCTTTTTTTCAGTATTGTCGATATACTTTATCTGGGTTTTATATCTGTTGGCAAGTTGTCTGTTGCTTCCGTTATATTGGTTTTCCTTTTATATATATA